ATTGTTGTTTCGACTCTGCAAGGTATTTACTCTTTGGGTAAGGAGTCATAGGTACTCATGTGAGGCTGGATGGTTACAACAACCGGTGTTAGGACGTTGTTGCGAAAACACAAATTTACGCCGAAGTCTGAAGTTTTCCGAAGATGTGCATTATAACATGTTAAATTGTTCTTTTGAAAAATGTCCATCGTCTAAAGAACAAGTTTACAAAAAATTATTGGTTTTTTGCACGGTCGTTGTAATGACTGTGAAGTATTCCCGGCTTACTTTCGATAAAGTATTCCGCATCTGACATGGTTTCATTATCGATGTTTTCAGCGTGTATGCGCCCTACGAACATAACAGATCAGTAATGTTATGTTTGTACAGAGCTGTGTCAAAGTGTCACTTTAATCCTGTCATGTCCAGCTCTACTATGCTCACTAACAAAGTTTATTCAATATGCTTTTATTTAAACCTTTTGTAACCTCTCGATCTGATGTATATACCATAATATTCCCCTTACAAGAGGAGCCGATGCAAATGACAACACTACCGCCCCTTTTTTGTGCGTGCGTGTTAAAATTTATTCTAGACACAAATTTTTAAACTTCGGAAACTCTTTCAAACGATAAAACGTTTAGTGTCATCAGTTAAATTACCATATCGTTTAATGAATGTTCACTGTGTGTTTCATTATCTGGTCCTTGCATGAAGCAAGATTGTTTCCACTGAAAATTCCTGCTTCTGGTTATTGGAAGACCGACGAGAAGCAGACAGAATTTCATAAACGTATGTACACATGTACGCGTATGTATCGTCACAGTGGCTTCACTGCCACAGGGATCGTCGGTTCGAATCACACTCGAGGCATGAATGTGTGTCCTCGAGTTTCTGTGTTTGTGGTGGCCCTGAATAATTTCGAAAGAAGTTCGAAATTATGACACAAGAATTCTACATAAAAGGCCCAACGCTCAGATTGTGCCATGACATCTAAGCAGTTTTATGATTTCGTCGTAAATATGTTATTGTTAAGCTACTGTCGGCCTCGTGTTAACTAACATTAATTATTTCTGCTCCCTTTTGGCTTGGATTCATATTCGTTTTCATTTGGGCCTCGAAGCCTTTTAGTCTTATGATGTCCCT